ATCCCAGGCACCTGCTTCCTCCCCGGTGAGTGGGAATTCGCTTGCCCTCCTGCTCCTCCAAGAGCAAAATCTGGGCTTGGCATAAAAATAAAATCGTAGGGCCATTATGGTTGCAAAAGGGCTTGGAGATCAGGCAGGCTCCCAAATGCTTCTGCCATTCCTGGCATTCCCTATGCAACGTATTTTGGGATGACAGCCGAGCTGGGGGAACGTTCCCGCCGGTCCCTTGTCCCCAGGTGAAACGTGGGCCAGGGATGCAGGTGGGTTTGGGCCACCCTATGGGGACCCGTCTTGATCCGAAGTAACGGCACGAGCCGGTGCGGATACAGCCCACGGGGCTCGGAGATGTGTGACGCTCGAGCCGGGAGAAATTCCGAGCCGGCAAAGCCGGTCCCGGCACCCTGCGGCTGCGATAAATAAATCGCCTGTAACGGAGCTCCCGTGCAGGGAGCATCCTGATGGCATCGCCGGCTCCGCTCCAGGAGCCTTTCGAGGATGCCAGGAGGAAAAAGGCTCTTCAGGGATACGAGTTGTTACGGAGCTGCTGCTCTGCTCCCTGCCTTTCAGGGTAGGAAGCTGGGAAAACGCGTGCGGTGCCGAGCTGGCAAAGCGCCCGCGCTCCCGGCCTCGCGAGCCGATAGCGCCTGCGGGCGTTAAATCCGGGAATGCGGCGGGAAGGCCGGGATGAGCAGAGCCCGGCTGCGTGCCCAGGTCGGCGACGGGAACAAAGCCCCAAAGCACCTTTGCCAGCGCTTCCTGCAAATGGCTCCCGTGCCGGCCTGGAAGAGAGAAAACCGCTCGGAAAAGCTGGGAAAAGTCCTCGGAAGAACCAGCGGTTCCCAAATCCCGTGTTCATTCACAGGCACTCACGCTCCTCCCTTGGGACCGATTTCAACCCAGGCTTAGACTCACTGCAAATATAAGTTTTGTTTATTTTTCCTTGGAATTTGGGACAATAGCGGGAAGTTTTGGCATCAAGGCTAGGAACACCCACTCCGGAAGCTTCAATGCTGCTGCTCCGCATCCTGGATGAGAAGCTCCCTGGCACTGGCAAAATGGGCCGGATCCTTCATTTTTAGGGACATTCGGGACCGCTGGTGCCGCATTCCCAGGATGCTGTTAGCGATGGACCATTCCCAGCCAGTTGGGAATACGGCGCAAGGTTCGGATCTATCGGAAGCAGTTGGACAGTTGGGAAAAATCACGGCTGAGCTGAAGGAGCCCAAAGGGAGCTGCCTCCATCCCAATTAGCAGTAATTAAAGCAGCTTTTTGCCCACCTTGGGAATATCAGGTCTCGAGGGAGGCAACTGAAAGCTGCTAAATCCGCCTCTTCTTCCTCACCTTCCTCTCCTTCCCTTGCATCTGGCCCCCTGGAAAAGGAGTCAAACGAGTCCCTGGATGAGCTGCAAGAACCAGGGAATTTGCCAGGGAATTACGGATGTTTGGAAAGTGCCGGGAGCAGGGAGAGCAAATCCACCTAACGGGAGCGCCGGGGCCGTTCGCGGTGTGGAACGGGAGCCGCGAAACCCGTTCGCTGCCTTCGGAGGGGCCGTTTGCCATGGATGGGCTCCCCGGAGGAGCGTTTTCTGGAGCTCTTTTTTGCCCCAAAATGCAATTTGGGGCAAAATGGAGCCAACGGCCCAGCTGGCTTCACTGGTGGCCACTAGCGGCTGCCAAGAGGCGACAGAAAGAAAGGGAAAAAGGAAGAAAACGACCCCAAAATGCAGACGTGGGAATACGTAACTACAGCACTGCAGAAGGCCCGGCTGGCTGCCGTGGCAATGAGAGGGATCCGAAGGGGCCGGATCCAGCGCCGGAGAGGGAAAACAGGCTGGGAAAGGCGCTTGTATCCCCGCATCCCGCGCTGGGAAGGGAAACCTCATGGAGAAGCCGGCGCTGGAAGCGGCCGCCGAGCTCCTCCGCTGCCCCCGTTTCGGTTTGGCCTGGAACCTCCCGGAGGAGGGAAAAAAAAGGAGGAAAGGAAAACCAGCAACCCCGAAAAGGAAGCGGTTATTAAAATGTTACAACAATTTTCGCCTTAATGATACAATTACTGGGTAATTAGACGATATTTTCATAGGAAATAATGGCTAAATTATTTTCAGGATATGTTGCTGCATTTCCACCCATCTCCAGCGTTTTTATGGGCTCTGTTAGCAGCCCAGATGCTTTTGATTACATTTTTTTATCCTGGCACAGCCCCTGGTGGGGGGAATGGTCGTTATTCCCATTTTTATTCCCGCCTGGCGGCTGAGCATCTTTTGGAGGCCACACAACACCGGTGGTTTGGGAAGAGCCCCAAAATGGGATTCAGGGCTGGTTTTATCCCGACCTCATCCCATCCTAGTGCCGGCAGGAGGATGTTTTTAAGACCTTGTCCAGCTGCTGCGTTTTTCTCCCTCCATTTTCCTCATTGGAGCAGTTGCCATATTCATCTCAGTCGCTTGTTCCCATCCGGAGCGGCGGGCGACTCCGTGGCAATGGGAGAGGATTCGGGAAGGAGATTTGGTGGGATTTTATTGCATTGCAACGACGCTGATTTTGCCAAGCTCCCATGGATGCAAGGAGATGAGTTCCCCACCAGGAATTCGATCCGAGATGGAAAACCAGGCTCTGGCTCCAGCTTGCAGCCCGAGCCCCTTCACCAGCTCCATTTTTCACCAGCGCTGCTCCAATTTTCCTGGAAATAGCCTCATTTTCCACTCCTTACCTGCTCGAGCTGCCGGTTCCAGCATCGCTGGCCACTCGAGGGGGATAATTAGCAAGCAGCTTGGCTGGATTTTCCTTTGCACAGGCTGATAAGGGCTGGCATCCCCTTAGCGTGATCCCCTCCCATGCATTTCTGCATAAAATCATCTCTTTTGACGTTTGCCCCTGCAAATGCAAAGAAAAAGGTGGCACGGAGCACGTTTTCCATGCTCGGCATGGAGATGCCGCCTGGGGATGCAGAGAACCAGGGGCATCTGGAGCACTGCGGGGTCTCGGGAAACGCTTCCCATGGGAAAAGGAGCCTCCTGGGAATGCCGCCCTGCGCCGGGGCAGCAGTTTAAGAGCTGGAAAAGGGTGAGGGGGGATCACGTAGCTGTTCCTGCTCCGCGGCTGCTTCCAGCTCCGTTTGCAGCAGGAAGACGGTGCCGGCTGCTCTGGAAGCTGCTTTGCAGCCGAGTCAGCAGGCGCCTTGCAGGGGGCTCAGCCCTCCAGGGTACATCTCGGTAGGGCATTTCTTGGGGATTCCTGCAAAAAATAAACGGGTAAAAATAAAGAAAATCGATGCATTTTGCATTGCGCCAAGTGGGGCGATCCACCAAGAAGCTGTTTTCGAGCAGCAGGATGGGCCTCAAGTGGGGCAAGCCGGGCAATTCCCATGGATCCGCCGCGCTGAGCCATGCATCCCGCTGCAGGTACATGGCCATCATCCACCCGCTGCGGCCCCGGCTCTCGGCCACCGCCACCAAGGTGGTCATCGGCATCATCTGGCTCCTGGCCTTCCTGCTGGCCTTTCCCCAGGGCTACTACTCGGTGACGGAGGAGCTGCCGGGCCGCCTCGTGTGCCTGGTGGAGTGGCCGGAACACGACACCAACGTCTACGGAAAAACGTGAGTGGGAGCCGGGACGGGGCGCCGGGAGCCCAGGCGGGAAGAGCCGGATGCCGGTGCGGGAAAGGAGGCGGTTGAAGGGCTTGCCGAGCCCAAATGTGTCCCCCAAAATATCCATTTGGCAGCTGAAAAGCTGCAGGAGGCAGCACGGGAATGGCTCCTGCCTCTTAATGATCTCCGGGTTTCAAACGGCTCCGGGTGGCCCCGCTGCTCCCACCTGGAGGCCGGAGAATCCGGCTGTTCCCTTCCAAGGCGGCCACGCGGTGACTTAAATGTCACGAGCTGAAGAGGGGGGGAAAAAACATCAAAAACACTTGTGAGCTCCGTCCCCATGGAAAATTCAACCCAGAGCAGGGTTAAAAGGAGGAAAAGAGAAGGGGGGAGAGGAAATCACTGCAATTCCGTCCCTTCTGCTTCCCGGCTAATTGCAGCTATAATTAGCCTGGCACAGAGGGAAAGGGGCAGCTGGGGGCCTCAACCCTGCAGCGCCTTCAGCCCCCTCTCCGCTCCGGAGCCCGGGATCGTTTTACTCTCCCAAAATAGTTTTGCGGGAACAGGTGGTTGCTGTTAAACCCTCTGCTTTGCTCTGTCACCGAGCGCTATTTCCAGACCCCCCCACAAGGGTTTTGCTGGGATCCCCAGAAGGAGGGAGATGGATCGATCGCAGCGACCCGTTTCCCAAAGAAACGGGCAGCTCTGGAAGCCCGCGGTATCCGAGGGCAGCGCGCGGGAGCCACGCGCGGCTCCTAATTGCGGAGCCGATGAGGCGCCTCGTTAACGAGCACGGTGCAAAGCAGCCCTCCGAAAACCCGATTAGCGCCGGAGAGGGACGGAGGGAGCGAGCGCGGCTGCCAAATTTGCAAAATTAGCTTTTCCCCTGCCCGACAGCGCTCGCAGAAACCAAAGACGCTGCCAGATCCAAGGGCAGAGCCAGCACCGAGCACCGGGGGCTGCGCTGCAGCCTGCGCATCCCAACCGCATCCCAGCCGGCTCCAGAAGGAGCCTCAAACCCCCCCGGCTCTCCCAGCTCCATCCCAAGGAACGAGTCTGATCGACGCAGGGGGGAAATTTAACTTGCCCTTTCCTGGCTTTGCAACTTATTGCTGTTTATTTGCAATTTATTTCCATTTATTGCCCCTGATGAGAGGAAAGTTTGAGCCTGTGTGTTGCGCTTGGCTGCTCCCAGCTCTACATCACATGCCAGGGTGACAGCGGCCAGAGAGATGAGGTTGGGATGAAGGGATGGACTCCTTCCTATGGAGAGGTTACATCCCCAGGCTCTTTGGGCAATCCACATCCGTAGGAATTGCGCCAAATTCCCTTTTCCCCCATGAAACTCCCTTGCAAGCTCCGTTTTGTGGACCAAACGGGACACTCAGGAGCCGCGGTGTGTCCCAGGTACCACTTCTGCATGACCATCCTCATCTACGTCCTGCCGCTGCTGGTCATCGGCTGCGCCTACACCGTGGTTGGCATCACCCTGTGGGCCAGCGAGATTCCCGGCGACTCCTCCGACCGCTACCACGAGCAAGTGTCGGCCAAGAGGAAGGTGAGGCGCCTCCGGAGCCGGTGCATCCCATCCCAGGTAACCGTGGCCAAAATCCAGGGAAAGGGCTCACCTCCCTGCTGCTAATGGAGCAGAGCGTCCCCTTGGCCACCCTGGCACGTGGATTGGTTGGGATGTCACCGTCTCGGTGGCGGCAGGACCGGTCTGTGGGGCAGGGCTGAGTGCGGTGGCCCAAGCGGCGCCCTCGGGCGCGCGGTGACGCGGCTGTCCCCGTGCAGGTGGTGAAGATGATGATCATCGTGGTGTGCACCTTCGCCGTGTGCTGGCTGCCCTACCACGTCTACTTCACCCTGCAGTACTTCAACCCCGAGTGGTACCTGCAGAGGTTCATCCAGCAGGTCTACCTGGCCATCATGTGGCTGGCCATGAGCTCCACCATGTACAACCCCATCATCTACTGCTGCCTCAACGACAGGTGGGTCCCGAGTCCCGGCCCAAGAGGCTCCAGAGGAGGGGACAACCCTGGAGAGGACCAAACAAGGGAGAAAAGGGGGTCCTGGGGGACAACCCTGGAGGGGACCAAACAAGGGAGAAAAGTTAGTCCTGGGAGACAACCCTGGAGGGGACCAAACGAGGGAGGAAAGTGGGTCCTGGAGGACAACCCTGGAGGGGACCAAATGAGGGAGAAAAGGGGGTCCTGGGGGACAACCCTGGAGGGGACCAAACGAGGGAGGAAAGTGGGTCCTGGGGGAGCGGCTCCTCATGATCCGGCTTGAGTGGCTGCCTTGGAGCCCCAAGGCCCCCATGGAAAGTTGACCGTGGCCACAGCAGCTTTGCCAGCTCCTCTGGGACACGTGGCCCGAGGGAGCTTCCTCAAGGGGTGTGCGGGGCAGGAGGCGCCGTCCGATGCCGGGGCGGCCCAAAACACCCCCCGTCTCCGCAGGTTCCGCGTGGGCTTCCAGCACGCGTTCCGCTGGTGCCCCTTGGTGCGGGCCGGCGCCTACGAGGGCCTGGAGCTGCGGGCCGCGCGCTACCTGCGCGCGCGGA